AGGCACGAAATGTGTCGGGGCCCCGGGGTGATGGGCGTTGGCAGGCGTTGCAAGCGTTGCGGTGCCATCCCATCCGTGTGGTGTTTCCAGTCAGAGCCTCAAATGTCATCCAGGGGCCGTCATGCAGCTCGGTGTTTGAGCCCCGAGATTGGGTGCCTTCGGTGATGACTCGGCACTCTTGAGACGAACACCCCTGTCTCGGTCGTTTCGGTCGTGCCTGCCGAGTCAGAGGCTAAAAAAAAGAAACATCACAGAAAATTTGCTGCAGAAAAGAAAGAGTGGACCCGTCTCGCAATGATCGGCGAAACCCTCCGAGCCCCCCTCACCTAATGGGTAAGGAAAGAGTGGGGATCCGGTTCCATTAGGATCCCGTCCCCTGTCTCGACCCTTTCCTTCTCCTCCTCCACCTCTCCCCTCTCCCCCTCTCGACTCCGATCGCAACCACTCAATCGACTCCGTCCAACTACTCCTCACTTCAGCCACCCTTCTCCAATTCGCTACCCCTCGGTGTTCTCTTCCCGTCCCTCCCTCACCACGCGCAGAAATCGACCTGCCTGCTGGATCTTACACACGCGTATGCGGCCAAGCAGCCACGCTTGCACAATCTTCAATTCGGGCCGCCCAAATCTGCGTCTCCTCTCTCGTCTCCATCGTGGGATGTTTGCCCACTCAGCGCCACGCCATTTGGCACCCTTCGTCTTATCCCTCGCGAGACTGAGGCCGTCCCAGGCCTGATTACTCTGGGTCCCGTCCGCCGTCCAGAACTTCAGGCCCGATTGCCCAAACGCCGAAGTTCGTCTTAAGAAGAGCGGCATGCCTCCTAATGCGGACCGTTTTTGGCTCCCGAGATGGACGGCAAAAAAGGCACGAGCTATCCGTCATCTTGGGCGTTCCAAAGCCATGGCTTCTTTCGCCGTCCATACTCTCCAATACGAACGACATGTCGCCAAGTCCTCCAGAACCTGCCTCAGCCTACCGAGTCGTCTCCCATGACCCAGCTATTCCCGCACCTTGCCCACTCACACCGGCCGAGATCCGGGTGTGAGTAGCGCTACTTCGACGGTGTACAGTACCTGTACGTACACACGGCCAACTTCCCCCATCAGGTGCTGGATGGTAGGGAACATCGCTGGTGCAACGCCTGCCACGGCACACCACAGCACACATTCAGCAGCCGTCAGCGCGCACACCCGCCGTCCGTCGTCTTCCGCGCCGCCACTTTTTACCGCATCCACGCCGCAAAGTACCTCGACTGCCGCCGAACATCCCGGGCCGCTGCGCTGCGCAACGCGTGGAAAAGTGGACGAAGGAACATAACCTGGCCACGGTGGAAACGGCCCCAAAGAGCCCACCGCCGGCCTTGCAAATGATCACGATGCAGTCATTGGGATGGCGAATGATCCTTCGCCGTCCAGGCTTCCCGGTTTGCTTGGGTTTTGCTGCAGCTGCTCGACGCTCGAAATACACGCCATTCCCTCGCCCACCGACTTACACGCAAGACAGCACTCAGCCGTGTATTCAGAACTACCGCTCACTGCCCATCCAAGCAATGTTTCGAAACTCGGACATTGCTGCGCCCCACGGCTGCTGATTGCTTCTCGTCCCCGAGACCTTTCAATCTGAGTAATCGGCACCAATGCCAGGTCCACGGCCCATGACGAGCTGCCAGCATGCCACCATCTCGTTGGTTGCTGGCACTAGTCTGACAGCGCCATGCTACCCCGCGGGCACCCCAAACCTACTCCAAATACGCAACCTAATCTTTGCGATGTGCAGCCCTCGTCGATTCGTTGCACTCTGACTAAGACCGCTGGCACGCTGGTCCATCGAGTCAGACCCCGCGAACCTTGGGGAACTCCCAGATTCCTGGCCTACGACCATCGTCGATTCCAAGTTGCTATACACAGTCGGGACATCGTTGACTAACACGCAGAACAGACACTGACAGCGTGGCATGGAACACTGCCCTGATTCTGCCCAAACTCTCAAGTCATCCGCGACAATGCCCTCACCGAACCAGGACGCGTTCGTGGGATGCGTCTGAAGTGGCTTCGATATCACCTTCGTCGCCACCCATCCAATCCGCGCCCTCTCCCGCACCTGCTTGGACAGAGAGGAGTTCAGGCGGACAAGCTAGCGCCAACTCTGCCCGTCTTTCACACAATCGATTGCGCAACACCCACCACCTCTCCACGAAGCTTGACACCTGGCCCAGTGCGTCCGATGTCCAGTTCCAACAGCTTGCGTGCTGGAAGACTCGTCGGTGACCGTCAACCGCCGGACGGGCCTCCGAATCGTGCAGCCATGCCTCCGAGCGAAGGCATCGGAGCTACAGGCGCAAGTCTTCGCGAACCCCTCGTCCGTCTGCTGCCAGATCCACCGTCTACTGCCACTTCGAGCAATCACAAGCGCAGGTCAAGCTGGCTGGGTGAGCAGGAGTCCAAAGTAGCCATCATCGGCTACAGACGGACAGGTCCCCGCAAGCCACGATGCACTCAAACTGGATTTGCATGCGCAATCAACGCTACCGGAGAACAATCTCAAGGCCTTCATTCGTGAGTCGTGGAGGCCGTCATCTGCGGCCCCCATGCAATTGCCAGACTATTGGACCTCTGGGCAAGTTCCAGCTGCAAGACCATTCCAGAACCTCAAGCCCCTTGCCCTGTCATTGCATCTGGAAAGCAATTCCGGCAGCATGGCTCGCTGTCTTTCTCCAGGCCCAGCCCAGTGGGTGCTTCTGCTTTCCTTCCCCAATCTGTTGGGGCAGGTTGGGGGACCCCGTAATTATTTTCCTGGCTAAAATCGCCGACACGACGGAAGAATTCCCAGGGCGCCAGACATGGCCCGCACCTCGGGGCGTCGTGACAATCTTTCAGCGAACCAAAATCGCAGGGCTTGCAAAAACAGGGCGATTCAGGGTCCTCGTTGACGCCTGACAGTACTAATTGACTGCAACATCCGTAGTCGGGCGCGCGCCTCGTCTCGCCCGTGGTTTTGTTTCTGTCGTGAATGATTATTTACTCTTCTCACATCTTGCAACAGTATCCATTCGTTTGAAATTGAAATGGTATTGTGATTGAACGATTCTTTCCTCTCTCTCATACTTCATTCCCGCTGCGAGCAACCCCCAATTGGATAACGGCGACGAGCCCAACCAACACCAGACAACAGGCGCTTCAAAAGATCGACACCGCTCATTCCGCCTCCAAACGCGCCGCGCCCACTCAACCCAGCAGAATAGTTTCGCTTGTCCAACAAGAAACTGACAGTTGACTTCGACATCCAAGCAAGCAAACAAGCAAAAACATAAAAAGCCAATTCATCAACGTCGCTTTTTCTCTCGACCGTGAGGTTTTTGTTCGATTTTTTCGTTCTGTTCCGACGAGCGGTGAAGGGGCGTCACTCACTCCCGATGAGAGCCCAATGCTTGGGCCGTCCCTCTCTCTCTTCCTCTGTTTTTCTCTTGGTATCATTGTTCCCGATCCCCTCTCTCCTCATCTCTTACTGTCTCATTCTCATAAATCTTTGGGGACACCTCATACCGGGTTTCTCTTTATCAAGACCCAGGGACGTAGTCGCACTCGAGTTGAGTGTCAAACGACACAACGCAAGAAGCAGCATGTTTATACCTTGCTGTTATACGTGTTGGACCAGACTTCACGACGGGGCTGGAAGAGGCGCTTGAGGCCAAAGTAGGGGCTGTTGATGGGGCTCTCGCCCGTGTAGAGGAAGACGTCGTACAGGAAGCCTCCGAAGAGGGTGCCGAAGAAGGGGGCGACCATGGGGATCTAAATTCGACGTCGATCGTTAGTCACGGGACTTTTCCACGGAGAGAAAAAGGGACTTTGGTGTATGGATCTCGGCACGCACGAAAGGACCGCCGGAAACAACGCAAGACCGAACGCCCATCTCCGAGGCAGGGAAAATACGGAGACGAACCGAGGCACACGACAAGCAGGGCAAGGGAAAAAGGAGAGATAGGGGAGGGGGCAACACAGCAACGTACCCAGAAATAGTATCCACCGGCGGACCACACCTCAGGACCGTATCCGACAATGTACGAAACCAGGCGGGGGCCAAAGTCACGAGCGAGGTTGATGGCGTATCCGGTCTCCCAGCCCCAGCAGGCGCCAATGCCGAAGATGAGGAAGAAGAGGGCCAGGGGCATGAAGGGCCCCGCGGCGCCGTTGGCCGGGTCGGCGAGGGCGAAGATGACCAGCTGGAGCAGGCTCGAGCAGATGAACTCGGAGAAGAACATGCCGGTGCGCGTCATAAACTCGGCCGGGTAGGTGCAGAAGATGCCGGCGGTGGCGTTGGGGCCGGAGACGGTGCGGATGCCCTTGCCCTCGAAGTTGTCGATGGCGGACATGTAGTTGCCGTAGAGGATGAAGGCGGCGGCCATGGCGCCGAGGAGCTGGCCGATGAAGTAGATGGGGAACTTGCGCCACGGCATGCCGCGGTACACGCAGTTGGCGAGTGTCACTGCCGGGTTGAGGTGGCCGCCGGATTTCTTGCCGACGTAGACGCCCAGCATGACACCCAGTCTGGGGGAATGTCAGTATATGCTGTGACATCAATGACGCGCCCCCTCATCGATGAAGTCACGATGAGAGATACCCGTGTGATGAGATCTAGAAGAACCATCAGGTTGTGAAGACTTACCCCCAGCCCCAGGAAATACTCTGGTAGTCACCCTTTGTCGAATTACTGAGCACGACCTGGGCGACGACGCCGTCGCCGAACATGATGAGGACCATGGTGCCGAAGAACTCGGAGAAGCCGTCCTGGAGGTTCTCGCGCACGCGGGACCACCACAGCTCCTCCTCCTGGGGAGGCGTCATGGTGCCCGCGGCGTGCTCCTCGTGCGTCTCTTCGCCTCCCATCTCGGACTTGAAGACTGGAATGTGTTGCTTGCCGACGGACGACGAAGACTCAGACACCGATTCCGCTGTGTGAACCACGATGGACATTAGAAACACCGCGATAACGGGAGGATATTGTCAAGGCAGGATGACGACAAGCAGAACTTCTGAGTTTTTGATGATGGAAGAGATGAGAGTTGATAACGCCAAGCAAGAAGGGAAGGGAGAGGGAAGCAGAGAGAGAGGGAGAGGAGAACGCGGGGTGGTGAAGATGAGACGAAGGGACGGACGATGGTCTGGCCAAATATCATCCCACGTCTCCCATGGGGAAGAAGCAACTCTTATGGTCCCCACGGGCTGATCACATCCCACGGGGCTGGATGACCGTTGCACCCGATCCGCCGGGTTGACAAGCTTGGGGAAAGAGGAGATGGAGGAGAACGAAGAGGGGGGCACGGGCTTCGGGGGTTGCTCGCAAATGCACGAAAGCTTGACGCTTACCCATCTTTGATCTTGGGTTACTTCTTTTCCTTCTCGTCCTTTTTTTTTTTAAACTTGCTTGCAGCGTGCTGCCGACTCTCGTGTGGATCTTCCGGACCCGATGAGACTCTGATGGTCAATCTTGGATGGGACACACAAGGTGGTTCCTAATCCTTATCCCACCCCCGGGATTCAAGCAGCCACGAGGCTTCGAACGCAGGCGATTAGCTCCTGCTTCTCCTGATCCGGCTCTTTGGGATACCAGCAAGTCGGTTACCGACGTGCTTCACGAGGGGAAGATACGAAGAAGGGGGGGCGTGTATCGTTGGTACGCGGGCCTTTGCGGATGAGGAGGCACGGGAAGAGCGAAAAAATCGAACGATGTGGGCGAGAGGAAAAAAAGAAGTCGCCCAGGTGGCCTCGGTGTTGCAGAGGCAGAGAAGAAGGCAGACAGACGGTGGGACGAGGGGGATGAAGGGGAGTGTGATGCAGTTCGGTGGCTCACACCGAAGTTGAGGTGGTTGACGGGGACGGAGGAGACGTTATTACGGACGACGGCCGAGGTTTATTCTGTGAAGGAATTCTGGATCTGGAGACTGGGATCCGGGGCACCATGGAGACGTTCCTTTTCGTCTCCCCTCTTTTTACCCCCTTCTCTTCTGGGTTTTGCTGCTCGCAGGTCTTTTCCGGGGTTCGCCAAGATGCGGACGGGACACACGCACTCTCTGCTTCTGGGATGGGGATACGCAGGCAGAGTGGCAGGACCAAGACGCACAGGTTGCGCAAAGTAGAGGTACAGAAACGTACGAAACCCACACACACACCCGCGCCACTGATAGGCTTCACTTCCTAGCAATTCAGCAATGCAGGGTGTGCCTGACTGCCTCTCCTCTCGCGCATGGAAAACGCGGAATGGGTGGTTCTCCAGAGGTAAGCTTCTGGGGCGGTTCCCACGTGTGGAGAGGGGCGTCGTGGGACCGCAAAAGATTGAGCGCGTGAGATGAGGACCTTTGCGCCGCGGCCGAGACAAGAGAAGAGGAGTGAAAGAGGCTGGATGGAGTTCTGGCCGAGGATGCCAAGGTAGGTTTTCGGTGCGGCTTCCGGGAGACCCGTTTTATTCGATCCTCCGTCCGCTTTTCTGCGCAGTTGCTTTACTGATTGCGGCGTCGTATGCAACTCTGTCGTGCAAGGCGCTGCAGACTCTGCATTTGCATCTCAGCTCCCGAGGTTGTTTGGCAGTTTGCTGTTCTTTCTACTAAGAAAAGATCTGGGGGAAAGTCAAAAAGTCGGCTGCTGGGTAAGTTTGCCTGTCTTCCCACCCGGAACTTCGTGGTCTTACCCCATTAATACCGATGAAACTTTGACTGATCAGATCGAAGATTGCCGCTTTTGATGATGGCATCCCTGGACCAATCTGGGGCCCGGGCAAAGGACGCCAAGGGTGCAGGGTGTGGAGCACCCTCTCTGGTTTTTGCCCTCTCTCAATCCGACAGTGACGAGCGGCCGAGAGAGAGAACCCACACCACTCCCGAACTATGTAACCGCCGCGGCAAACGTCATACACGGACGGGTACGTCTAACACCAGCACCACCGTCAGCACCAACCACCGCCGCCGACTGACCTCGCAAGCAGGCAAGTAATACGTCGTCGTCTTTTTTCTTTCTCTTAGTCGACAAAAGGTTTCGATTACTAGCCAATTGGACCAATGACGTGCGCTGCCCACATTGGCTCCCGCAAAAAAACGAGGAATCTTGAGCCGCGGCTCGTCGCAAAAAAAAAGAGGCTTATCCCATCTCACGCATTCTTGGCCTGCACTGCATCGCGGTTGGAACTTTCGCCTCTTTCCCCGCAGTTCGTCGTTCGCAGACGGACGAATAAGACTGGTGGTGTGAGCGCGAGTGTAACGTAGTGGAGGGGAACCAGGTCAGCATCGACGGTTCTTGACCAATTTTGACAAGATGACAAGCGGCTTAGAAAAGTTCTAGTCGTCGAAGCGCACGTCGGCACATGATCTGGTGCATGATCGGGTTGGATTGGCGCGTTCAATTGGGAAGTCGAAGCCGTTGGTTCGTTTCAACTCGTTTGCGATGCCATGTTGGTTGGAGACACTGCTGTGCCGCGCGGCGGCCATGTCCGAACGGACTTCTGCCCACCCTCGTGTCCACGAGATCCTCATCCCATGCTGCTCTTTTCCCTCAAAGCCGCACGTAAGAGGCGGGGGATCCAGCCTATTCAGCTCTAGCCTGGTGAGTCTTGGATGGCCTTGGTCTGCAAGAAATGGTCCAGGTTGTTGTGGGATCGTGTGCCAGTCTAGTAGTTCCGCGCACCACATACACACACACCGCGGGCTATCCGTAGCATCCCGTGGGACCATCATCTCGTCTGGTCTCCTCGTCCTTCTTTTTTCGTGTGAAGAACCCCGCTCTTCGGGCGACCGGTGCTCGAGATAACGGCCGGCATAAGGCCGGACCCACCGGCCGTGGAGTTCGCCCCGACGCAGACCGAAACTGATCTCGTTGCACTGCGCCTGGGAATGACATCAAGCCCGTCCTCCCCCGCTTTTACTCGCTGTTTGCGGCCGACATTGCCTGCTCCCCCTCGAACCATCGGCCGACCAGCTGCGGCTACTCGGTGTGCCCACCCCGAATCCCCATCCTGCTGCCATCCCGGAATTCCTCGCGTGCAATTGAAGAAGGATTCGGCTGCCTGTCATTGAAGAAGTACTTGCATCCGCATCCCCCCGTTGTGACCCGTTCGCATGCCCCAGTGGGGGATGATCCTGCATTTCCGGGGCCCCCTCGTTGACAGAGCTGCGGTTCTCCCAGTCCGGCCTGTTGGTGCTCATCTCGTGACATCTCCACAGATCTGGGGATGGGGTAAGGTAGGTAGAGATGGGAGAATGAGGGGTAGCTTGTGTTCGAGAAAGCTGTCTCGTTCCTGTTCCCCATGGAGGGAGCTAACCCGACGCCGCACCTAAGCTGTTGGAGGAGCTGAGCTGGGTTTCCCACATGCGCCGCGCACATGGTACTGGGGCCGGAGCGGAACTCACTACAAATATTTTGTCAGCCCGTGAAACTCAAAGCTCAATCGTGAACCTGTGCTCCTCTCCTTCTTCCCTCCTCACCTCGTTCCTCAAGATACCCAATTGTCCCTTCTTCTCCTTCTCCAGCTCATTGCGCCCGTCGCCGTCGTCGTCCTCGTTGGTGCCATTGAATGCTCTCGTCCCTTCTTCCCAGCCGTTTCAAACTCTCCTCCAACAAAATGTCTTCCTCTGCCGCCGTTAACGGCCAGAAGCCGTCCTTCGTCGGTGCCATTGACCAGGGCACCACGAGTACGCGCTTCCTCATCTTCAACCCCCACGGTGAGGTCGTTGCGACGCACCAGCTTGAGTTCAAGCAAATCTACCCCAACCCTGGGTAAGTCGCGCCCTCAATTGGGTAGCTCTGGTCGCAATGGCGCAGAAAGCTAAATAGTTTGCGACAGCTGGCACGAGCACGACCCCGAGGAGCTTGTCTCTTCGGTCGAGGCGTGCATTGACGGCGCCGTGCAGGCTTTTGAGACCCAGGGCCACTCCCGCGACCAGATCAAGGCTGTCGGCATCACCAACCAGAGAGAGACCACCGTCCTTTGGGACAAGACCACCGGCAAGGCTCTGTACAACGCCATTGTTTGGACTGATACCCGTACTAAGGACCTCGTCCGCAAGCTCAAGCACCGCCTCGGCGCCAGCGAGCTCACCCAGCGATGCGGTCTTCCCCTTTCCACATACCCCTCCGTCGGCAAGCTTCTCTGGCTCATTGACAACGTCCCCGAGGTCAAGAATGCTTACGAGCGCGGTGTTCTGGCTTTTGGTACCGTCGATACCTGGTTGGTCTACAAGCTCAACGGCGGCCCGTCGCGCGATGTTTACGTCTCCGATCCCTCCAACGCCGCCCGTACCATGTTCATGAACATCCACACCCTGCAGTACGATGAGGACCTCATTGACTGGTTCAGAATTGACCCCAAGAAGGTCAAGCTGGCCAAGATTGTGCGCTCATCCGATCCCGAGGCCTACGGTACCCTGGCCAACACCGCCCTGAGTGGTACCAAGATTACTGGCTGCTTGGGTGACCAGTCCGCTGCTCTGGTCGGCCAGAAGGGTTTCACTGCTGGTCTTGCGAAGAACACATACGGCACTGGATGCTTCCTGCTGTACAACATTGGCCCTAAGCCCGTTATTTCTTCTCACGGTCTGCTCACCACCGTTGCTTTCGACTTTGGCCCCGGCAAGACCATGTACGCCCTCGAGGGCAGCATTGCTGTTGCCGGATCTAGTGTCAAGTTCCTCGTGGACAACTTTGGCTTCATGGAGTCGTCCTCTAAGCTCAGCGCCCTCGCCGAGACTGTCGAGGACAACGGTGGTTGCACATTCGTTACCGCTTTCAGCGGTCTCTTCGCTCCCTACTGGATCGACGATGCGCGGGGTACCATCTTCGGTATCACGGCGTACACCCAGCGTGGTCACATTGCTCGCGCCACCCTCGAGGCTACCTGCTTCCAGACCAAGGCCATCTTGGACTCCATGGAGAAGGACAGTGGCGCCGCCCTCACCGAGCTCGCCGTCGACGGTGGCATGTGTAACTCCGACCTCGTCATGCAGGTAAGAATAAGCCCCGGACCTTTTCCGAGCCTCGGCGCGGAAGGAGAAAAACCACAGACGCTGACCCTTGTAACAGACCCAGTCCGACATCATTGGCATCCCTGTCAACCGTCCAGGCATGCGCGAGACCACTGCCCTCGGCGCGGCCATCGCGGCAGGCTTCGCTGTGGGTGTGTGGAAGAGCTTCGACGAGCTTAACGACGTCAACCTGGAGGGTCGCACGATCTTCAAGCCCCAGATCACGGACGAGGAGGCTAGCAAGCGCTTCGGCCGCTGGGAGAAGGCTGTCCAGATGAGCAAGGGCTGGTCAAGCTAATAAAGTTATTGGAGGGTTGGATTTCATCTTTTTTTCATGATTAATATTTTTGCCATATACCACTGT